GGTTCGAAGTCAACATCAGTCGGGCGAGGAAGTATCCGCTCGACGGCCCGATATACTTCGGGTCTTGGCTACTACCCAATGACACCATGCCAATCTCGTGTGATAGCGTACTGCTGGCAATGGGATCGACCAAACGAGGTCCTGAACGGATAGCCTGAGTGGCTTGCACTGGCTCTGAAGGTCGAAGCGGCTGTGCTTGTGGAGGCTGACTCCCTGTGAGGTTCAGACTATCCTCGGGCGATGCACTGTTGACTCTGATTGTTGAGTCCCTTGCAAAGGTTTCATCACCATCAAGTTCCATGTCAAAATCCCCAGACGGGCCTTGACTTAGGTCGACTTCGGGGCATCTTTCCCTTACAATGCTCTCGAGCCACTTGACTCTCTCGATTAAGTTCGAAATTTGACTAGCTGAATGTCAGAAACATGTGCGAAGGTGGGAACTTTGAGAACAGCCATACGCTCTGGGAAGATCCCGAAGACGGACACTTTCGCCGTCAGTGCAAGCAACTCCGGCCTTCTTGCAATTGTTGCACGCAGGCAATTGCCCGTCGCACTATCAGACACCCACTTAGTACCCTGACATCTTCAATTGAGGTTCGGAGGTCCACTTACACGGATCTTCCGCCGCTGGCACCGAGAGCAAGCGAGCCTCAATCGCGCGGTTCTGCGGGCCTGACGGGGTGTCGACCGGGAGCTGGTATCTTCGGGCATATTGCGTTTTTCGGGGCAGCCAGTGCTTGGCTGGTTTCCGTCATCACATTAGGAGAGCGATGTGGTGTTTGGGTAGGTTGAAGGGAACGAGGCGGAAATTCTCCGAGGTGGAACAGAGGATGAAGTTGGTTGACAGTAGTGGCCCCAGGCTGCGCGGGGAAACCCCGTGGCGTCAGACCCTTTGTTAATTTGCTGTGCCGGGGTTTGCCCGCACCATCGGCTGAATTCCGTGCGGATGCGTGTGCTTCACTGCTCTCTTCCTCGCGACGCCATTCACTTGCCTTGGTATATCATGAGAGGCCATGCTAGGTTCGAAAATCGCACCTCATATCCAATCAATCCTGTAGCCATTCATACGACAGATATTGCCGTGCAATACTCCACATCATCTCCCAACCTTGCACGGCACATCTTCCGCAATTCTGCGCCTCAAACTCCGCATAGCCATTCAGCAAGATGGCTGACGAGTCCCAAAAGATACCAGTGGCCGCTTCGGAGGCCCGTCGTCTGGTTGAAGACATCCTCAAAGGCAATGGCGTTCCCGAAGAAAACTCAAAGATAGTCGCCCGGTGCCTCGTCGCTGCCGACCTTCGCGGTGTCGACACTCACGGCATGAACCGCATTCCTTCCTACATGGAGCGTGTTCGCCAGGGTGTGCTCAACGCCACAGCCCAGGCCGAGCTGAAGCAAGTCACACCGGTTGTGGCGCACGTCGACGGCAAAAACGGCTTCGGCTTCGTTGCGGCAGAGATGGGGATGGCAGCTGCCATCGAGTCTGCCAAGACTTTCGGCATCGGCATGGCAAGTGTGTCGCATTCCAACCACTTTGGCATGAGTGCGTGGGTGGTGCAGCAGGCTCTTAATGCGGACATGATGAGTTTGGTGTTCACCAACTCGAGTCCTGCGCTGCCGGCGTGGGGCGGGCAGAGCAAGCTCATGGGTGTTTCACCGATTGCTTGTGGTGCGCCGGGGAAGGACAAGCCTTTCATCCTGGACATGGCCCCGTCAGTCGCGGCCAGGGGCAAGATTTACAAGGCCAAGAGACGCGGCGAAAAGATTCCTCTTGACTGGGCGCTAGATGCTGAGGGACGTCCTACGGATGATCCCACCGCAGCATTGGGAGGTGTCATGCTACCGATGGGTGGTCCTAAGGGTTCGGCATTAGCAATCATGATGGATGTGTTCTCTGGTGTCTTCTCTGGCTCTGCTTTCGCTGGTCACGTCACTAACCCGTACGACCCCTCAAAACCAGCGGACGTCGGCCACTTCCTGGTCGCCATCAAGCCAGACCTCTTTATGAGTCTGGACGACTTCCGTGAAAGGATGGACTATTTGTACCAGCGTGTTGTTGGGTCAGACAAGGCGGCAGGAGTAGACAGGATATACTTTCCGGGTGAGATTGAGCAGTTGCAACAGCAGGAACGGGAAAAGACAGGCATACCCTTGGTACAGGCTGAGATTGATGCTCTCAACGAGGAGGCAACAAAAGTTGGCGCCAAGCCTTTGGTAACCCAGGTAGCTGCATGAACTATATCACTTTACGCCACTCTTAGAAGAGCACTCCATGTTTCCATCGAATCTCTATCATTCTTCGAACGGGGTCTAGCGAGGCCTTTTTGTTTTTGGTCATGGCTACCAGTCAGAATGGAACTGGATGACAACTCAGGGAAGTTTCTCCTTGGCCTAAGGTGATCTTGAGACGCCTAGTAATGGTAGTTGACCAGGCTGAAGTGCCGAGACCAGAAAACTTCCTTGTGTTCAAGTCATCATCATCTCATACGTATTCTAGTTGGCATTCACTATTGAGGAGAGAAAAGTAGACATGATCGTAGATACAATCTAGAACTCTAAAATTGACGATACTCGGAAGAGTATCCGGCGGTCACTGGTACGAGCCTTGTTTTTTTTTATTTTTTCCAAGGCCATTGATACCCTCTTCCATGTTCCTCCAAGATCAATCGATCCAACGTATGGACATCAAGTGCCTGAGATTGCTTTGGTGAGTTACGCAAGGCTCCTTCTTACTTTCTACAAGACAAGTTCCCATTCTTACAGACTTGGCAGGAGAGTCAGCTCGGCGCCTTTCCTGGAAACCCGAATCTTTAACCACGCCTTCCCTTCTTCGCCAAAACTGTTGTTTGAGGAAGTGACACTCAGATCGCAGCGGAAACTTCTTTCTAAAATGTAGCTGCCGCAAAACAGACTGCCGGTGTACTCGGGGACTTTTGGTAAACCAGACTTCGATTCTTCCCACGTCGTCTCACTCCCAGACAACATCACCCACGCCTACCATCCATCCCAAGTTCAATCCAATCAACACCCATTCATTCTATCGTTCTTTTCTTGGACTCCCCATCATCACCAATATTCATCATGAAGTTCACCACTATCGCTACGTCTCCGCTGTTGCTTGGCTCAGCTTCACTCGTCACCGCAGTGTCTCCTTCTGTACCACTGGATCAGGCTATTCCCCGAGGCATCTCCAGCATCAACCTTCAAGGCACCGACGTCGATCAGAAGAAAGATGGTCGTCTTTGTTTCACCCTTGGTACTTTCGACTCTCATTTCGGCGAGTATGATGTATCTCTGGTCGATGAATCTGTCGACGGGCATCTAGCCAATGGCTTCTGCTACAATCATGCTACCAAAGTCGTCCAAGACAGCCAAGGGAATGATTGTGTCTTCGACGATACAGTCAGCAACCTCCGTTGCTCTGCCGAATCTCCTAAGACCAAATTTGACCTGACCATTCGCCAACCACCAGCCGTCGATTACTCCAAGACATCGGTACGCCCTGAAATGACGCCGTGTACCTCTCTGTTGAGAACCGTATGCTTGGAAAAGGTGAAAGCCCAGTGCGCTTGGTGCTCTCATCACACTACGGATTCTGAGTGTCACAAAGCTACCTTCTGTCCATGGCGTTTGAGTCCCAAATACGGCCTCTCCAGCTCGCCCTCGCCCTCTCCCACTCCGGTATACGACGGAAGCCGGTGCACAGGAGGCAAGCCTTTCCTCCCTGCTTGGCACCAGTATTTGAGATGGTGTCGAGATCACCCCGAGTCGATCAGATGCCCCTATCTGCCGTGGACTTTGAATCCAAAGACAATTCATTCAGACAACGCATTCAACGATGCCATCGGCTTCATCTGGTGTCATCTCCTTGGTCGGTGTCAACATTCCGATATCTCCGCAATAACGCCACCAAAGACCGTCCAAGTAATTCAAAACGCCCTGGAACACGTCTGCACGAGGTATCCGCCCACGTGTCCCTTCATCCCTCCTGTCATGGAGGTCGTCTTATCTTCCATGGAAGTCATTGCCGACGTCTCAAGGCTAGCCACAGCTTTCTTCACCGGCCATGGTCTTGAGGACTACAGTCGCCCAGCCTTGCCAAAATCTCCCGAGACCAGCCACGGCGCTCCCGCTCGCACAGGGCATTCAGACAGTCAAGGCAGTCTTAGTGTTGTCGACAATGCCCTCCGTTCAGCTACTCTGGAGTTCATCTGCGAGGAGCTCTGCAGCCCCTTGTGCGATCACATTCCCTCAGTTATGAGAATCGTTGATTCAATATTGAAGGGCAATGCGGACCTACAGGAACTTACCAATGCATTCCAGTATTACCTTGCCAGAATCACCCCAGCTGATGTCCAGACCCTGACAGAAGGAGCTGAGGATATCTACGACATCTTCGTCGCCACGCCTTCAAAACTGGAGGATCTGATTGACGCTGTCAAAACCGACTTGGAAACGCTCGGCCTTCACGGCACTTGGAGACTGCTCCGAGCTGGTCTATCCATTTACTTCCGTCTCTCCCCGTCGGACGAACACAATCTACTTCGAACACTTGGAGACATCATTACCCGTTTTGATGCATCCGGTGCTTCGAGCTAGACCACAGTAACTTGATGTGAAGGGTATCCAAGGGTTTGCTGGAGTTTGACGATGCGATCAATGGACAAGAGAGCGATTAGTGCACGCACTGCACAAACCGCAATGTTGCATCGGTTGGCGGAAGTCTCTGTGATCCAGGGTGCATTGATCACGAGCGACCGGTTGAAGGACTACACGCGAATGGTGACTGGGGATGAGCAGTATAGCTAGCTACCTAAGTCAATTGATAAGAGCATCGCTTACGCCCAACATGAATGAATGCACCTCAAATGCAATTGTGACACGACCAATATTCCGACCGGTAGCAAACATTATAGCACTATAGGTTGACACATCGGATCGTAGACTAGTAATCGGATGGCTGGGCCAACGCCTGGTCACCTTGCCTGTTCGATGAATCACTTGGTAAAAGTTCCAAAAATGTGTGGTACTACTTGAAACCATGTCTCATCATGGGGTTGGCGAATGTCAATATTTGTCCATGGCCCTGCAGACCTCAGGTTGTTACCAGTGTTGCGGCACAGCTGGCAGCCGTTCAAAGCCCGCGGCCAAACCAGATTGACGATACCTAACATAATTAGCATCGATGTCGACCCGTTCAGTCGCGCTCCTTGTGGTTGACTTACGCTGATAGAGGCGGATGGGGCGGCTCTGCATCACCTCGACATGTTCGTACAAATACCACCTGCCCCCTTTCTTGAGATAGGAGTAGAGCTCGGCAATGTTCTTCTCGGGCTCGGGGATGCTGCAGAGGCAGAGAATGGAAACAATGCAGTCGACGCTTCCCTTTTCAATCTTGCCGTTCCACGCCGTGGGGTCGGAGAGAGACTCGATGCCGGTGGGGACGATCTCGTAGGTGCCCTCGAGCCCGGCGGCCTGGACATTCTTCCTTAGTGCCGGGTGCGCCTCGGTATTGGGCTCGATGCCGTAGACTCTCGCCACGCCCTCTGCGACGCGCCTCCTGACGCCGCCGCGCGCCATACCAGCCGCTGCGTCGGCAGCCTTCTTCTTCTCGTCGCCGTCGCGGCCCTTGGCGAAGATGTCCACCCACATCCCGGACCCGGGCCCGATCTCCAGGACGACACCGCTGACGGGCGGGTGGACGGGCTCCTCTACGACCTTGCCGTCCGTGACGCGGCCCTCAAGGAGGGCGACCATCATGTCCGACCTACCCACGCGGATGTTGGGGCCGAGCCAGGCCCAAAAGGCGGAGAACCAGGCGTCTTGGACGCGGGACGGGGTCGTAAGGGCTGCGTAGTCGCCTTCGCGGAAGAGGCGGAGGATGGTGGGGGGGAGGTAGGAGAAGGCGTTTAGGAGGAACATCCAGGGGCCTACGAGGGCCCAGAAGATTGCGGTTGCTTCTGCTAGGGAAGACATGACTTTGACCCCTCGATCCGGAGAGAGAGTGTGGGTGAGAGAGAATGAGGAGTGCCTATGGTATGTTAGAAATGGAAAGTGAGAGGGGGCATGAGCTCAGGGGCTCAGGGGGAGCTTACAGACTGAACAACAGGTTATATACACAGTTAGAGGAGCGAAATACCCGAGGGGCCTGGAAAGTGGTGTGTCCCGGCGAGGGCTGGCCGGTTTATAAGTGGGAGCTTCGCGCAAGGAACGGCCGAAATGCCGGGGGACTTAGAAAAGAGGTATTACAGATAGTGAAGTGGGTATATGCATCTATCGACTACAGTGACAAGCTGTCGATGCCATTATCGTACATAGCAACCCCACCAACCCCACCATGCTCCCCTCGGCGTCTAAATCTAGACAGCTTCCTTTGACAGCTTTCTCTGTCTCTTCTCTGTCTCTCTCTTTTTTCTTTCGTACTCTTCTTGTTTCATGTCTCATCTGTACATTCATTGCGTCTCCGAGTCTTTCTTGTCTTGCGCTCACACGACTGCAATAGCGCCTTCAACAGCGCTTCATATCCTCCGAACGTTACCAACCGTCTTCGCTCCCTCGGCTGGTCCTGTTGGTTCCTTATCTACGTCTCGCGAAATGCTGACATCGTGCCTGACAGCCCTGGTCTTCCAACGTCATGCAAGCTAGGGGGTCCCGTTCACGACGATTGGCCAGTTTGCGTCCATCTCGCATCCCACGCTGTTATGGAGCGCTGCGTCTGCTGGCGGCTGCTCGAACTCGTCCGCGTTGACGAGGTGCCGTTCCCAATGGAGACAAGTCTCTCGGGCAGCTCCATCGGGCTTCGAAGATACCTGTCCATCTGAGGCGCTGGCGCCGTGTAATAGGCACCGGCTCTACACACACACACCAACCCACCGAACCGTCAGCATTCATAATCCTGCGACCACACTGATCAGAGCCAGAGAGGCAAAGAGGCAAAAGCTTACCCGCCATTTGAGGTGGTGGTACCAGACGGTGCGGATCGTTGAGACATCGTGGGGAAGAAAAGGGGTAAGAGATTATTGGTGTTTGGTTTGATTGATTTCTTGCAGGTTGCAATGCACGACTACAGTTGTACGAGGGTGAATGTTCGCGATAGTATCTACGAGATGCCTCAGATCGCAGCACGGAACAGCTTCAATACATATAGGGAACCTGAGGATGCCATTTCAACCGTCGACCTGCGCGGTTGGCCAGCAGCAAGTTCTGCTCAATTGAGGGAATCGCAAAGGCACGGATGCGCTGTTTAGCCTACGGTTGGCCTCAGTGAGGCTTTCCAGATCTCTCATGAATCTCAGTTGATAAATCGTGGGGAAGGGGAAAGAACACCTCGCGCATCATCTGCGCGACGCTGCGCAATCCTTGAGTCTCGCAGACTACCATCTTTGAGTCGTGTCCAAAGGAGCGAAAGGATATTTTCGGTCACCATGATCGTCATCATTGGCTACACCTGCATACGATTGCCTGGATTTTGGTGCGGATCGTCGACCCCCCTGGCATGGCACAGCCTGCATACTTGAACAACAGCGCAAATGCGCCCTTTCGAATTGTCGCTGTGGCTTTAGTTCGAGGGCATTTCAGAGCCTGCTCTCCCCCTCCTTTCTCCCTCTCTCATTCTTCTCGTTGTTTCTGACGCCTTTTTTCCACATTTTTCTGCTTCGCAATTGCGGATTTCCCATCGGTAATTTTTGGCATTTCCTTTCTGGGCAGCATGGGACACAAGACAATTGCAAGCAGCCGTATGACCAGGCTTGATGCAACACAAGTACACGATGGTGTCGCATCATCGAGGCCATCTGCTGTCGCATCAGCAAGGGTCGATGAGGCCTCCAGAGACCTTGCATATCAATTCCTTCACATGAACCGCTCATCCCGCCGCGCATCCATCGTCAACCACAACACCGACGTTTCCGAAATGCCTTCACCTTGTGCAGTCTCTTTTGAGCGTCCGCTTTCTTGGACCTTCGATACTCCGCTGCAATCTGGAGACCGGCGCCACTCGTCGTTTGAATCGGAAAACATGCCTAGCCTGGCATATCGTGTCAAACCACAACAACCACAGCCACATAACCCGAGGAAACACCAGAGGGGAAGCCCGTCAGTTGACAGCTTGGAAGAGCGGCCGGGTTCGACAGAGGAGAGACACTGCAAGAGGATCTCGGGTGATTCCGGCTATGGGTCGGATACGCGGCGACGAAGTCGTGACGGGAGCGGAGACTCTTCTGAGTATCAGGACGTGAGGACCAGAGACGTCAAGATCTATCAGCGACCGGGGTCCAACATCCTCATACGCCGATGCCCATCACCTCAGTCGGACAGCGACGGGACCTTGGGTGTGCCGCGACGACGCAAGAGGCATCTACGTAGACATAGCGCCGTTGTCGTTACTCATTCACCTAATGATCCAACTCCTGCACCGAAAGAGATTAGACTTCCAACGCAGAAGACGAAAATATGCGAGGCACTATCGAAGCAAGGCGAAAGAGTGGCGATCAGCAGGGAAAGCCTGGACGCAGAGACGCATATATATGGCAGTGATCTCTCCGTTTCCGTCAAAGGCCTGCGACGAATGAAGGGAACCACGGCTCTGCGCGACCCAGTTGGTAGCCCACGACCCCCAACATCGAGTATCAGGGTCATGAGAGCGCCTAGGGCCATGAGGGCACCCAGCATGACTTCAACGGACATTCCGCCTGTCCCCGAGGATAATGCTCCAAAACAACAGCCTTCGCTCATCGGATCACCATCCATCCGGAGAAGTTCTACGTTTGGAGATGACCTCACTCGGAGGGCTATGAATCGCTTATCCCTTTTCGAGGACGCAGATGGCCACCCCGTCTCCTTTACAGACCCACGCGCCGCTAGGCCGAGCCTACATCTCGACACCTCAATTGAAGCTCGCGCACAGCTTGAACGGCCCCTTCAGTCCACCTCACTTAAATTGGCGCGACCTGTCTCCGGACCGCCCAACCTCCCTCTCAACTGGCACGCAAACCTGACACCTCGGCCATCCTTCCTTGCCGTCGAGGAGCAGTCCGACTCTGCCAACGACAGTGGAGATGAATCATCCATCGAGTCGAGCGTCTTCTCGGTCCCGGACTCCCCCGTGGAGCCGTGTCAACTGAATCGGGATGATCCATTAGCATCGCACATGGACGTCATTGTCGGCAACATCTTTCAACGCTACCAAGAATGGAACGTCCGCGAAAGGGGTGGACAAGGCCGACGAGCCTCGGGCCAACGCGTCAACACCAACACGCCCGACTCCGGTCGTTCGTCGAGGAAACGCTCGCACTCCGACGACCTACCCGACCAAGACGCCTCAGATGGCGGGGACTCGAACGTGATACCGGGATTCAAGAAGCCAAAAGTCCCATCGAACCCATCGAAGTTGATGTTTGCGTGCCCCTTTTGGAAGAATGACCCCGATAACCACCGCCAATGCTATAAGAAAGTTCTCAGCCAGATAAAGTATGTCAAAAGCCACCTCTACCGGTTTCATGCCGCGCCCATCACTTGCCCCTGCTGCGGCGCCGCCTTCCAGGACGAGGAAACGCGAGACCAGCACGCGCGTGCACGGCGCTGTGAGGTAGTTAGCGAGGGGTACATTCCCAGCCACGAGGGCCTCTCCCAGGGTCGAATGCGACAGGTCTCAAAGCGCGCGAACCCAAGCCACAGCCCGGAAGAGCAATGGTTCACTATCTGGGATATTGTATTCCCTTCGAAGCCGCGGCCGTCGTCGCCGTATATCGATGGAGTGCTGTCGGAGGACCTCTGCAGCTTACGAGAATTCCAGACCAGTATTGGGACGGATATGATGCTGGATTACCTAGCCTCGCGAGATCCTGACTTCGCAAACGACGAAAGGAGGGCCGCCATGTACGACCGCGTTGCATTCAACCAGCTCCAGGAAAGGATTTACGAGGCATGGATGGCGCGTCGCGGTCTCCGACAGATCCACGATGCCAACATCTCCACGACGCCGCCGCGCACAGAGTCCGATGAAGCAAGTCGTGCCTCCCCAGCCAACGGGGTTTCCTCTTCCAGGCGCGAAGACGATCCGGCACAACAGCAGCGGATGCAGACACAGACGCCGCCGCAGCTGCTGCAGCAGCATCAAAGTTCACAGGAGGAGACGACGGCGATGATCCAGCCTACGCCCGTGCCGCCGGATGTGGCTGTGCAGTTTACGGGCCAGGATTTTGGGGAGGCTGATTTCAGTCGCGATGATATGTATTATGACACGCATACGCAGGCGTTGTTTGCTGATTTGAATGGCTTGCTGCCTGGTGCTGGCCGGTCGGAATTTGACCAGGGTGGGTTTGGACCGCCATATGTAAGGTAAGGTAGACGGCTGAGTAGATTTGATTCTTGATGCTTCGTGCTTCCGGCCGGCTCGGTTTGTTCTATACTTGTGACCTTATCGCAAACCTGGTCTACGAGAATGTTTATAGAATAGCTCTCTTGATTACCACTACTATATTTAATAAAGAAAAATAAGATCTCAGAACGGAGTGAGTATTCCTCTGCTGGCTGCTAATATTCCCCAACGACTCGTATGTCAAGCAAACACGAGGGTTTATAGCAAACATGTACCGGGAAACCAACCCTCATAACCTTTGACGCGGAAAATGCTGCATTTAATTGCGAACTCCAATGAACTCCAATACCCCAGCCTAATCCTTAGGACGCCCTCCATGCTACGTGCTATCCATAGACCCTCCACACAACCATCTCCCATATCCTTAACCGCCCCCCAACCCCCTCCCTCTAACTCGTTTCTTCTCACAGCAACACGACAGCCAAACAAAGCCAACCGTCCGGATACGCCGCCTCGCGCATCAAATCCTCCAACGGCGCCGAAAACGGCACGGGCGAGCCGTGCAGCACGACGTTGGCGAGGATGGGGTCCCGGCTGGAGGGGAATAAGCTGGGCAGGTGGGCCTGCAGCGCGCGGCCTAGGGTCTGGCGGGTGCGGGTGCCGGGGATGACGGGGGGGACGAGGGTTTGGAGGACTTTGAAGGCGCCTGCTCCGGGGGTGTCTCCTGCTTGTGCTGGTGTTGGTGGTGGTGATGTGGTATCGGTGTTGGTGACGGTGTTGCTGCCGGTCCCGGGCGGGGGCGAGGACGGGATGTAGACGCGCAGGGGCACGTTGCGGAGGGGGGTGGGGGCGTTGAGGAGGAGGGCGTTTATTTTTGCAAAGGAGGCGTAGTCGTTGTCTTGGACTGCGTTCCAGAGGGACGAGGTGTCTGCTTTGGAGAGGGACATTATGCGTTTTGCGTTGCCGTAGCGGACGAAATCTGCCTGTTTTTGGGGGGGTAACTTAGAGTGTATTAGGGGCATTTTTGAGTCAGGTGAGGCAAGGTTAAGAACTGGGATTTGGAGAAGAATGTCTGGAGCGTTCTTTGTTCGATGTGGGTTTGTGTTCCAGTGTGAGGTGATGACGGAGGAGAATGTGGAAAGTGGAAAGATGGAGGGGCAGGTGATGATGTGTTTGTCTCGTGGCGTTGTGTAAAAGCAAAAAAACAGCTTTGGGATGAGAGACATATGTTCAGGTAGCGTGGAATGGGCATGTAGCCGAGAAGATGGGTAAATTTGATTCTCAATGTATAGGATGAGACAAGGGAGCGACAGTGAAGACATGACGGGAAGGGGGCGGGGGTTCGAGAAACAGAGACAATGAAAGAGGTTGATGAAAGACACTGAAAAGAGGTTGGAGAAAGAGACAAGACATGTCTCTTTCGTAACTCTACTCACCTCTTTGACGCAGTTGAGAAAGGTGTCACCGATATCCCAGCTATCGCCATCGCTGACGGTCAGGCGCCACGGTAACGTCGGCTGGTAGAGGTCGACGAGGAGGCCGAGGGGTAGGTTGCGGAGGAGGAGGTCCTCGTGGTGGAAGGCGGAGACGGGGTGGCGGAAGAAGGCGGAGCAGCGGGGGACGAGGAGGGCTAGGTAGGAGAAGCGCGGCAGGGAGGTGACGAGCGGGGTGTTTGGGGCGGAGGGGTGGATTATGTGGAGGGGGATCTGGGCGGACCAGAGGGTTTGGGGGATGGATGACATTGTTGTAGATGGGGGAGATTGTGGTGGGAGTGAGGTTGGGATGAAGGGTTTAGGCGTCTCGGTGGTGTAGTGAGATGAGAGGCGGATGAGAGACGGGTCAGGGAGTCATCGTAGGTGGTTGTGTTTGATGCTGGTTCGGGTCTTCTATGCGGCCGGTGACGAGCTTGCAGGTACACAATGTGTTTGTAGGCCCGAGGAAGCACGACGGGAGTCCGGCGCGGAGGCTCTAAGGAGTGACGTTACAGATTGTCCGGCGTTGAACAAGTGACGGTCGGGACGGAGGCGGAGGTGGGGCACCTTGTCCGTCAGGAAGGCACCAGAGCCCGGCCGAAACAAAGCCCCGCCATCCGATGATTACCTAAGCTACGGAATACCAAGGTACGAACAGCAGTAGCACCGCATTGCCTCTTTGAGTTACCCGGGCCATCCCTGGAGCTCCCTTAGAGCTCACCCTGCACACCTCCAGCTCCCAGCTCGCACACCATCGGCATTCTTTCGTCCTACCTTGGCTTACTGTGTTGTGTAACCCTCAGCTTAGGCCCCAGATTCCCAGTACGGCGTACGGATAGCAGGACGTGGTCGGGGGATTTTCTCTGCCTGACAGCGGCTCCTTCCATGTCCACAGGGAACGTCCCTCCTTGGAGTCCATGCCTTCCGGGCGGCACTAGGGGCGCTGGGGCGCTGAGCTGAGAAGATCCTACTGCAACTGCACCTCACTTCTTTTCATTTGGATGTGGTTTCAACCTCAACAACTACGCGCATTTCTGTTGGTCATGCTTTTCCAGCATCGGAACCGAGACATACTCATCCATGGTTGACTTGAGGCAACTAAAACACCATGGTGGACGGTGCTATCACGGCGAGATGTTGACCACCATGAAGCCCGCGGCAAAACTTTTGAAGCATGTCCGGCAAGGCGAGCCAGACATCACATCGCATATCAGGCATCACCATCTCGCTCTTATTGCGCGTACTTCGCACACTCCGTACACTCCGCACACGCCGTCCGCCCGCGAGCGTCGAATCGCCTCGAAGAATCCGTCTTTGAGCCTTGTTGCCTGCGGATCTTTCCATGAGAACGGATACGGGATAGAGGCCCAGCCTTCCAAGATTACTGTACGATCCAGCCATGATTCGTCGTCCGCCTCAAGCGCGTGCGGCGCGCCGAAAGGAGTCGGCATGCAAAAAATCCTGGAAAATCACTTCAGCGGCACGTCGTGGTCGGTCGAGACTCGATGGTTGCACATGACCCGGCCGATCATCCTCGCTTCGCGTCGACCGCCGAATCGTCGTCGCTTACGGAGTACATGCGTCTCGTCATTTTCGTATGGATACCTACACCCATCGCTATTTTCAACACGCTGCTTGGCCAATTTTGCCCGCCTTGTCCAATGTCTGCCGTCTTACGGATACTGCTGTCCCGTATCCACTGGTTCCCAAACCGGCTACCGACGAGCAGGGACAGAGGACCTATCCAAGGACCAAAGCTATCTCTCGGGGAGCTGTCTTCTGGTTTTTTCTGCTCACTGAGTCGTCAATAATTTGAATCGCCGACCACTGTTCGCACTACTTTTCGTCCACTACCACGCTATGGGATATAGACTGTCACTCCTCGCACACCCCTTGGCCTTCACTTGTCTTCGACCCGGCGGCCGATGCTACGCGGCAGGCAACACGCCGCACACGCAGGCAGGGCATAGGACGCAGGTAAAGGAAAAAGCAAAAATACACCGCGTGCCACGCTGTAGCTCCGAGACAAGAGGTTTGGTTACACGAGAATGAACCAAATGTCCCCACCCTCTGTGTCTCTCTCTCTCCTATGATGTTCAGGCATCTCTCAGAATCTCACTCTCTTTGGCTCTGAAGCTCTCTAAGCTCTCTCCATCTGGGGGTGTTATCCACCAACCAGGAGCTTACACAACTCGCACACCCCTCCTTCGTTGAGCTTTTCTGCCAACAAGCTCCAGCCTCCGCCGCCATCTCATACAACTTCTTCCCAAGACATTCCTTTTCCTTTATTTGCCTTTTTTTTTCTTTCCTTTGCAAAACCTCTTTATTTTCCCCAGTCTTGGGGGCAGGCCTTGGTCGCATTCGGGACCGTGTCAGTGGCCACAGCACATTATGGATAATATTTCCCCGGAATAAATCTCACCAACCCAGTCTGACCGTTAGACCACGAGGTTGGGTGATCACTGATGCGTTCACAAGGCGTGGGGCGGGGAGGGGACCAATAATCCTTTGGAGATCAAAATGCCAGGGTCTTTCGTCAAAACATATCCGCGTCCATAACAAGTTGCGACTGCAGTATCTCACATGAGCGACTCAATCTATCCGTACATCTCACCATATCTCTTACCATCTCCATATCCCAGAGCGGTCAAACCGCCGCGGATTCAGACGGAGGGGGGTGGTGACGAGTCAATACCCCCAAGACCAAACTAGAGCGAAAACCTTTTTTTTTGTTCCTTTCTTAACGCGTACTTTCACGCTTTCTCATCTCAATTTTACCATCACCAGGAGGGGATTCCATAATGGCGCTTTAATGCCGTCCTAGCGCAGTTCACTAATCGGCAATCGAGGCGAGCTATCAGATTTCCAGAGAATACTGCGCGTTAGCACCAGCAAACGCATCCCTGTCAGCGTCGCGCTGCTGGCTAGGCACCTCTATTCGTGTACACACTTCACTCTCACACACACACTTCAACAAGTCTCTTGGAATGCTATCCAGGGTTTTACGATAGTTAAAGTCGAAAGCGAGTCTAGCACCTCCTTTTACACTACCTTAGTAACGTAACTTTGGGTAACTCTGTCTGGCTTCTGTTTCTTTGCTTTTTCTTCTTCTTCCTGTACAGGTCTCATACCGGCAATGGATTACCTATATCTGGCATGTTCTGCTCTTCCCGCCCCCATTTCCAGACTTTCTATGCGTTACTTTGTAGAGTCTACATAATACTTGGTCGACGCCCCCCTCCACGCTCCCCCTCTCCTTTCGTCACTTCTCATTCCTGATAGAATCACTCAAACGAGATGGCTGCGCAGCACAACGCAGCAGCAGCAGCAGCAGCACATGCGCTGCGACCTTCTTTCATGTCCTTGCATCACCTCACCCTCTCTCTGCCGCTGACGCCGCCCTGCTCTTACTCCCTCTCGATCAGTCTCTCAGTCCGTGCCGTCCCAAAGTACCTTTGAGGTCGAGTGACTTGTGAGTGACAACGTCAGCCAGAACGACGAAAGAGCTTCTCTGCAGAGCCCAATCATCAGTTTTAGTCTCCAAAAAACTCGAGGCTCTCACCACCTTCTCACCCAAACCCGCAAAGCTACCTTGTCGTCAACCTCTCTGCCTTGCTCACACGCCCCCCCTTTGCCAGGTTGTATTCCCTATGCTTGTTCCCGTCACTTTCCCATCACATTTTTGCCGTTTTCCCCATATCCTACGATGACCGCAGAAGGCCGGGAATCTCAAAATCGCCCAAGAATTGCAACGCAACCACCCCAAATCCAATCTTAGCACCTCCAACTCCGAGTCTCCAAGTAATGTTGACTGACCCAGGTGCCCAAGCCGAAACCACCAAAAATCACATTTCATAAACCCCTAACCCGGCACAACCTCCCAAACAGAGTATGGTCTTCCCGTTGCCTTACCGCCTCATCCCGTGCCCGCAGCCCTCCCCTCCCCGTACCTTTGGTTCTGGTTCTGGTTCTGGTTCTCTCCCGCTGCCCTCGTCCTAGACCCCTTAGGGCGCCGTGTGTACGTTCAAAGACGACCATCACGGCCATCGCGACCACCACCTCTTTCCCACGCCCCGCGTCCCACCTGCGTGTCAAACCGCCCGCGCCGCCGCCGCCGCCGGCCTCGCCTTGTCCAGCCTTTCTCCCCCGTCAGCCACATACCCTACGTCCCCCATCGCCGTGTCCGTCCATCCCGTCCGACCGTGCAGAAGAAAGGGCGCACCTTTTCTCCCGGTAACCCAAGTGAAGGTGCAAGGACCCTCTTCCCCCCTCCCCGTCACTTACTACCGAGTACTATTGCCAACAACCGCACTTATCATATCAACCTGGGATGTGCTCTACTACCGCTCCCGTACCCATGCCCCTGGGAGAAGGCAGAAGGGGGGAGCCACACGGCTCAAGAGAACTGATCCCATGGCACTGGGTCCCGGTCCGTCAGTCCCGCGGCGTCCGCCCCCCCTACGGGTAGCAGGCACCAGGCCTCGATCCCTTATTTCAGGTTTTTTGACGTTGTGTCGAAACGTTGATCTGGCACTTTGAGCTGTAGAACACGACGACGACGCCGCCGCCACGCAGCAGATGACAGGACTCGGTGACACCCAGCAGACCGCCACAAACACATCCCCCCATCCCCCATCCACCGGTTCCTTGGATCTGTTGGGGCGGCTTTGGAGTGTTCTAGGTCGTTAATCGTGTGAAAAGTGCGGGAGAGGGCGGGAATGCTACGCCAGCCAGGCCCGATCACTCTCTCTCCCTCTCTCCTCAACCCAAACCCAGGCCCAGCATATGGCGGCCTCGGGAATTGCTGAATGTGCTTTTGCCCTTTTTACAACTCACCTTTTACTCAAGGGCCTAAGGTGCTAAAAGGTAGTATCATGTAGCTTGCCAAGCCGTGTGCGCGTATCCCCTGCTCTGCCGTTCCGGGTTCCTACTATCACTACCTACCTCGTTGGGAATATTTTGCCGTCGTTTTGGTGAACCTAGTTGAAGTACAATGCAAAATGAAGAAAAGGGGGTTAAGTAGCTGTCAAAGTGTCAAAGTCGCAAACCGTCCGTCCGTTTGACAGGGAAACCGAAAAGCCTAGTGTGCGAAAGAGAAAGAATAAAAAGTGATTCATGACTGATGCAATCCCGATTCCCAACCCGCCAAGTCCCGCTCCCAAAATCGATCACATTTTTTGTTCGAATTGCTCTCACACCGGTTTTACGGATACCTATGTGTGCTGGGTTACAACCTACACCAGGGGGGGGGCAAAGCGCAAAGTGCAAGG